TTTAGAGATAGTGCTATCCGTACCATTAGTTGGTAGGTAGCCCCATCCATTAGATGTGAAGGGACAGGCGAAGGGTTGTCGTACGATCATCGAAGGAAACTTGTAAGGATGCTTTAGCAGTTTCGTAAGGGACTAGATCATTTTTCGAAAGGCAACATCGAAGGATCATCGAGGGACTATGATCTTTTATTCGAGGGTCTTTGCTAAAACATCCCCACTTTCGAGGGACATGGCCGTTTGTTCCAAAGGCAACGAAGAGAGACTACCATAGAGGTGCGAGTGTGAAAGTGTATTTGATTCAGTTATATTTATGTTGCAATTAGGTTTTCTAGCGTTTGATTTTATCTTACCATATAAACCCTAATTACTAACAGTAATATAGCAAATATAGCAGCAGAAGATAAAGGCGGAAACATACACCTAAGCTATTACAGAGCTTTGGGGAAGTTACATAATAGAGGTGCATAAAGGAAATCCTAAAACTATTACATCCAGGAAACAATTACATAATAGAAAAGTGCAAAGAATATAAAGCTACGCTATTACATTCAAATGCGTTATATACATTTTATCTAGGAAAATAAAAATAAGATGAAAATAGAAAAGAATTTTTTTTTTAATTTTTTTTATGAAAAATGATTTATGATAATTAATTAAATAAACTTAAAAATCTAATTAATTTTAGTATTAAAAAGTTTAATTAAAATAAAAATTAATTTTTATAAAAAACTTTAAACCTAATTTAATTAGTGTTAGAAAAATATTAGGTTAAAAAAATAATTAGGGTTAGTTAAGAGAATTAGAAAATAATTGAAAAAAACAAAAAAATAAGGGTTAGTAAAAAATAGTCAGGGGTGGGTGTTGAACCCACACCCTTTGCCCTTTCAGCAACATGACTTGCCACTGCGCCAGACGCGCGTTGGTGTTAGGAGGATGGGCATAACGCAAAATATATTGAACCTGCAAAAACTGAGAAAATATGAAAAAATGTCAAAAGGCAGGGATCAAACCCACACCCTCTCATACCAATGCCTTATCGTGCACGCACTTGCCACTCGGCTATGTTGTTCATCTGGTACATCAATGGAAACAATTAAATAAGTAATAAACCAAATCACTGGGCCAGAGAGGCGCCGGAGCCCTAGCTCCGGTCGTCTTCTCCGATGACTCTTTTCTTGATTCCTGCAAAATAATGCACGTTAGTGATAAAATAGAACCCTACCCCTCTAAATTGAGGGCTACGAGTTTAACGGTGCTATCCGTTTATCTTAAAAATGTTTGTACATGAAGATACAAAGAAAACGCTCCCTCGTTCCCTAATTATGGCATATTCTGATTCCTGCGTCAAAACTCAAAAGCAATGGTTCTAAAACGTTCAAAACATCAGTATGAACATGCATATATGCTTATAAATGGTTTTTAATGTGAGAATTTAAGAGTTTGCGATTGAGAAATTTTACCCAACTGGTTGACTTGAGTGGGAGATTCTAGGTGTAAACAAGCTTTCTTCTGGGTTTGCTAATGATCCTGGGAACTTCAGGGATGCATTTAGATGCTTGGGTTTGAATGAAGGAGGCTCTACAAATAGGGTTTTGTGTTTGCCCTAGTTTATGAGAATTTTTGGAGTTTTTGAAATAGTAATCTCTTGCCAAGTTTTTCGTGTCTTTGTCTTGTCTGAATGAAGAGTATATATATGCTATGAATTAGGTCAAACAACTGGGCTTGGACCTTTGTAAGAAAGCCTTGGTTTTATTTAATTTATTTTTGAATTTAAATAAATAAAATAAAAAATAAATGGAATAAAAATCAAAGGGGTGTATGAATGGATTCATAGGTTCACTATGAGTTACAAAACATGCTTGGACCTTGAAACATAAGCCCAATAGCCCAAAAATTCAAGTTTTATCAATTTAGGTTTCATGCATTTTCTCAAAATTGCCCAACTTGCAACAATCATAGCTCTCTAAATTTTTATCATATGTAGGTGATCTTGGACTTTTTAGAAAGGTCAAGATGTCCTCTACAATATCTATGTTTATAATTTTTTCATTTGAAGACTTTATCTTGATGTAAGTTGTCTTGACAAAAAAGTGTCTTTTTATTGACTTTTGAAATGACCTATAATGTATTGATTCATATCTCTCAAATGAAGAATTTTTTGGACTTGAGCTTAGAGAGACAAAGTTGTAAAGAATTGAATTTTCTTCAAAATGAGCTTTGGTTGAGGAAAATATGATGAAACATGTGAAACTTATGCTTGGTTAAAGCTCAATTGACTTCTCCTTAAGAAAACTCTAATTTGGTAACTTTTGACTTTTGATGAATCTTGAGTTTTCTTGATGAATCATGATCAACCCTTGGTCAAATGATGAATGTGACTTCAAAATCTTGATGTTGACCCAAACTCTTGAAGTTTGACTGTATGTTGACCACAATTGACTTTTTGTCCAATACAATTGATTTTTAGTCATCTGAGCAATTGACTGAGCAAACTTATGACACAAGGCTTGAAATTTGACATGAACATTTCTTGAGACATATGAGGAACCATGAAATCCACTTGAGCCATTATAAGCTCAAATTTCCTTGAGAAAAGTGAAATCATAGTTGTAGGCCACTGCTTAGGAGGAAAATTTGTTTGATCAAATATTGAGTAACCTTGAGCAATTTGAAAATCCTAGAAGCATAAGCAGATATCATGAATTGTCTTCAAAAGAATGGAAGAGCAAATTTTGGAGTACAACAATGTGTATTGTAATTCATTCCCCTTTGAAAATACTACTATCAAATATACTACGCAATTCAAGAAACACATTGAAAGTTGGAAAATCATTTTATATTAAACATTTGGAAAATCTTTAATGCTTGCACGAGACCTTCAATTGTTTTTTTTTAAAAATTTTTATTCTCTCACTCTTTTTCTTTAATGCTTACACGGAAATTTGGAAGACCTTTAATAATCGCACGAGAAAGGGAAAATCTTTAATTATTATTTTTTTATATTATAATAAAAAATAAACATTTTAAATTTGTCTTTTTTTCTATATAATATTTATTTTAATTAGTTAAAATATTTATTTTACTTAACAACAAATTAAAATAAATTTACTGATGATTATTATAAAATTTTATTATAATGAAAAAATACAATTTTATTTCTATCTTTATAATATAATAAAAAAATTATTTTTTTATCCATAAAATTTTATAATATAATGAAAAATAAAATTTTTAAGATTGTGTTTTATTCTATATAATATTCATTTTAATTAGTTAGAATATTTATTTTACTTGACAATAAATTAAATAGACATTAAAATGATAATTCAATATTTATCACTAATATGTGATATTTATTTATAAATATAATTAATATCAGACACATATTTATCACTATTGAATAAATAAATTTTAGATGATATGATAAATATTTAGTTTTATAATTAATTTTATAAACAAAAATAAATTATAAATATTTTTAAAAACGATAAAATTTCAACTATTAATACAATTGTTTTTTAACAAGAATAAGTTAAATTTTTTTTTTATAAATGATCACACGAGTTTAAAACACTTATAAATGAGAAAAAATCTACATATTGATATAATTATTTGTATAAACAAAAATAAGTTACAATAATTTTTATAAACGAGAATAAGTTACAAATAGTTTTATAAATAAAAAAAAATTCAACTATTGATGCAATTATTTTTAACAGAAAAAATTAAAAATAATTTTATAAATAGTCACACAGTTTCAAAGCAATTATTATTTTTGTAACTATATAAATATTAACTAATTGAATAAATAAATGTAAATTTGATAAATGAGAGTGATAGATGTATAATATAAATCAAGACAAAACCAATGCGATAACACATATTTCTTATTAATTTATCTATAAATCAAATCGTTTTCATTTATGTTTTTAATTTATAAATAAATAAATTGAACATGTTTAACTATTATTTTTTTAACTATTATGATGGATTAAATTTTACATTCTCTTTTTTTAATTCAATAAAATATTTTATTAAAAAATATTAATTTATACAAAATAATTTGATTCCTAAATATAAAATACTTTCTTGAGATTTACCATCAACTAGTTTATCTAACTAAATGATATTAAATTTTATTTCATAATTAAATGTTAAAATGATAGATAAGCAAAAACAAAAATAAGAATTTAATTTTCTTTATCTTTAAGAAAATACATATCAAGGTAGTAGTATTTTAAAAAGTAACATGATAATTGATACTATAATGTCATTATATTTTTTTATAATAGTATTTAAACCTTTAAATTCAATAAATAATTTATGTTCAATTATAATAAAATAATTTTTTTCAACATGTAGATAAAATAAAAATAATTATTAAAATTTTATACACACAACAATAAACTCTGGAGATAAATAATTTTTTATTGCATTATAATTTGCATTTATAACTATAACAAAAGCAGTATTCTTTAAATGTTTAAAGTGGTAATACTTTTTGAAAATATATATACTTAATATATTAAAAATTGAAATAGTATATTTTTATAAAAAATATTTCTTTTATTTGATATTCTTAAAGGGTACTTGTAACATTCGTTAGCATCAACCATAATAAAATAATTCTATTATAATAGAAACAATTTTGACCACTATAAATTTTTTATTTATGAAATAATAATTTATTATAATTATAATATGGGTTGAAAATTATAATCATATTCAATAAAATAAATATACAATTAATGAAGTTTTGTTTGCTACTTATTATTATAATTATAATTATTATATTGGGGAAGAAGGACTACTACTACATGTTAAGCAATTACTGTTGTGCAGAACTGTGTTTCTCCTCTTGAGTTCTCTTCTCTCACACAAACACCAACCACAGAAAATTAAAATAAAATATAAAAAAAAACCTTAGAAAATTCCATTTTCAACCTTTCTCCTTCATTCGTTTTCATTCTTCTCTTTCTCTTTTCCCCATTCTCATTCTCATGGCCTCTCTTACCTCTCCCCTCTGCACGTGGCTTGTTGCTGCTTGCATGTCAGTCACGTGCGAATCTCACTCCTCTCTTTCTCCTCGTTCTCGTCGTCGTACCAAGAACCTTCTCAATCTCCCCCTTTCCACTCCCAATCGACACCGTTCTGGTAATTTACTCTTCTTTCTACTAATTACTCATATTTTCTTTTTCTTGTTAATTCTTGTTTTTTTAGCGAGTTATTAAGCATTTTCTGTTAATTGTTTCTTAATCTCTGTATTAGCTTTATTTGATGTTAGTTGTAAACTTGTTTGTTACTAATTAATTTGCTTCTGTATAGTTTAGTTTCATTGGTTGGATTCATCAGATATAGATATGGTTGGTACTGAGAACTTATTAGTTAGATAGATAATTAATGTTCTTATAATTGGTATTGTTTATTTTTATTTTTTTGTAAAGAGAGTTGTTTTTATTTTGGGATAATTGAATCTTGACAAATATTAGAAATGAAAATATTAGAGAGTGTTGCGCATGTAGAGAGAAGAAGACATGTAGTAGATTCAGTGGTAATGAGGGTTGATCAGATGAAGAGAAGTCAAACAACTAGAGGAAGAGGAAGACAGAAAAAAAAGTAAGAGAAGTTATTAAGAAAGATTTTGTGAATAACGGTTTTGATAGAAGCATGGTCCTGGATAGAGCATTATGGCGAAAGTTGATCCTTGTAGCAGACCTTATATAGTGGTTTTGTTTTTGTTGTAAATCTTGACAAATACTAAAGATGCGATATGTATTGGTTTATGGTAGAGACTATCTATTTAGCAATGACAGACACAATATTGACATGTTGACAATGTAACCACATGTCTTGGTGTCGGACACTAGACATGATTTTAATATGAAGTGTTGATGCTACGTAGGAGATTTCATCATGTGCCCTGTTGTGACTTGGTGAATTTAGTCTTTGAATATGCATGCGTGTTTTGTGACTTGGTATGTTTACTTAAGGTCATGTGTTTATTGTGATCAACTTATAATTCTAAGTATATGTAAATCTGATATGTTTTGAAGCATCTTTTGTCTTAGGTTTATGGTGATAAGTTTACCTAAACCTAAGCTATTCTTGGCCATTGGTTGCACTCTCTGCTCTAATTTAGCATACACATTTAAGATTATGATTTCTTGCTTATTAAAACTGCTTATCTTTTACCTCTTTCTGAATGGTTAGAACTAGGTATTCACTCTATTGTAAGGCTGTTGGCATTGTTTTCTTGTATGATTAGTAGAAATTGGCTCCAAATTTGAACTCTAAAGTTGTGCTGCTGATGTTGAAGGAAGCCACTTTCAAGTTGTGATTTACTGTTTACTGTTAATTGTTGTTATGATAATTACTTACCTATGCCTCGCGTTTTATAAAATTTCAAGGTAAAGTAAAAGCTGTAACTTTAGAACCTGCTCAAGAAGCTACAACAACAAGAAAACCTCCTTTAAAGCAAAGACGAGTAGTGGTGACGGGGTTGGGCGTGGTCACATCACTTGGTCATGATCCAGATGTCTTCTACAATAATTTACTTGATGGTGTTAGTGGAATAAGCGAGATCAATGCTTTTGATTGTGCGGAATTTCCAACGGTAACAATATTTCTTTCGAAGTGTATCCGTATTCGGTGCCTTCTGTAGCTATTGATCTTAATATTCTATGTTTCCAGAGGATTGCTGGTGAGATCAAGTCTTTTTCAACTGATGGCTGGGTGGCGCCAAAGTTTTCTAAGAGGATGGATAAATTTATGCTGTATCTGCTGACAGCGGGGAAAAAAGCATTGGTTGATGCTGGAGTTACTGAGGATGTAATGGATGAATTAGATAAAACAAAATGTGGTGTTTTGATTGGCTCAGCAATGGGTGGAATGCAGGTAAGCACTCTAGAAAATTTAGTTACTATCTATGAAGCATCGACAACAACTTGGCAGACACCAGACAAATAGACACCAATGTTTAAGAAAATGAAATTGGCCATGTCCGAAATGCCTTTAATCTGAAGTGTTGGTATCACCTAAGATACAATGCTTGAGCATATTGAGAAAAGAAACTGTTGTCCCATTCAGTAGTTTACTTTATATATATAAAGCATAATAAATTTTTTAGGAGGGTGTTGTCTCTGTTGTGGTGTGAAATGAAATTACTTTCAAATGTGATCCAAGATGGGGCAAGAAGGTGTTAATATTATGTAAGTTGATTGCTTTGATTTATTGACTATTTTGTTTTTGTTTGTGTTGAACAGGTTTTTCACGATGCCATTGAAGCTTTACGAATCTCATATCGAAAGATGAATCCTTTTTGTGTACCTTTTGCAACCACAAATATGGGTTCTGCCATGCTTGCAATAGATCTGGTCTGTTTGAATAAATAAAATTAAGCACATATTATGGACACCATAACTGGCTTAAGCTTCCAAAAAATGAATTCTTTTAATGAAAAATGCAGGGGTGGATGGGCCCAAATTATTCAATCTCTACAGCGTGTGCTACAAGTAATTTTTGTATATTGAATGCTGCAAACCATATAATTAGAGGTGAAGCTGTAAGTATTCAACTTCAACATTTTCTTGTATGATTGTGGATTTCTCACATTTTTCTAACTTTTCTCTGAGAAGAATTTTGTTAACAGCGATATGGTAATTTTTACCGAAAGTCATAAAATATTGAGTTTACTTATGCAGGACCTGATGCTTTGTGGTGGTTCAGATGCTGCTATAATACCAATTGGTATTCTATATTTACCAAATATTTGTGGCTTGCAGAAGTTATCTTGGCTTAAATATAATATCAATTCAACAATCTTTGGTGTAGGTTTGGGTGGCTTTGTAGCGTGCAAGGCACTTTCACAGAGAAATGATGATCCTACTAAAGCTTCACGCCCGTGGGATATTGTAATATCATAACGCTTTCTTGTTTTCTTTTTCCATTATTGTTGCTGAGTTTCATTAGGCTTTTTTTAACAACTATAAATCTATAATACTGCTGAAAATTGGACCTTGCAAAAAGTTTTAAAATTTCACTATGTCTATAATTTGAATTGGAAAAATCCTTGAGAAATGAAAAAGAGAAATCCTGAAGGCATCCATCTGAATAAACATTAGTGAAAGTTTTATTTTATACCTGAAATGAGCAAAATTTTCAGCATTGTGCTTCAATATCTAAATATTTAAACAACTTTTGACGAAGTCACAGATGCATCAATTGGAAAGGATGCTAAATTACTAATTACTAAAAAATTACAGTGCTTGTAGTTTGGTCTGTATTTTTTTCTTGTTCTTGTGTTGTACTACTTTTGTTAACCATTAGTTTACCTGTGTGATATTGCAGAACCGTGATGGATTTGTCATGGGGGAAGGGGCTGGAGTTTTGCTTTTAGAAGAATTGGAGCATGCTAAGGTACTTATATTTTAGTCGATCAATTTAGTAATAAAACTCAACTTAGAATTTTAGTGCATAATGTAGAACATTAATGTGATACTTATTTACACAATTAACTTATCGTCCTTCATTTCCTTTCAAAGGTATAAGAACACACTGATGAATCTGTTGTTGTATCCCGTGTTAGAATCATGCTTCATACTTATTTCCGTCAACGCTTAATCTCTCTCGTTACACTACGTTGTTTTGGAAAATCTTATATTCAACTAACTTATATTTGCATTTATGTTTCAGAAAAGGGGAGCAACCATATATGCAGAGTTCCTTGGTGGAAGCTTCACCTGTGACGCTTACCATATTACTGAGCCACGTCCTGATGGTAAAATTTTGCATCTTCTTAAGGCCAATTCCTTTCATCTGATTTTAAAAAACATAAATAGCTGGTAGGTTTTCTAACAACTTCCGGAGATCGTAGACTAATAAAGGGTTTAGGATTCAGTAATCTTATCCCGATCTTAAGGCTCCTCCCTCCAAGTTTAAGAGGCCAACGGAATCATGTCCTAGGCTGCACGAGACTAGTATATGTTGATCAAGAATTTATTTAGGCTAAATTCCAATGTCTAAAATGTAGGACATCAGGTCACTGTGTGTATAAGTAGAGCATATAAGGCATCAATCTTCACCTCTCATATATTCTTAAATGGTCGAGTTTATCCCCTCTCACTTCTCTTGCTTCACTTGATAAGCTCTCTATATGTTTTGGGTACAATAATTAATAGAGGCAGGAGCAGTATTTTTAAATGAACTGCATTCGAGAAATCAACCTTATTTGTAAGCTGATGAAAATATAATTCCTTAATAAGACATTTGATGAGGATTGTGAGACATGCATTTTATGAGTATCATATGGCGCCAGTGTTGGAAGTGTTCAACCCAACATCCATATAAGGAGAAATGGTTGTGCTTCATGATAGAAAGAACAGCCTTTTTGGAAGATTGGTTTCACCATAAAATACTGATGTTGGAAACTCTATCTTAATTGCATTCCACCCCGGCTTCCTTAATGGGAGGCATTTGGGTTCCCTTCATAACAGCCTTAACACCTTCATTGTGTTGGGTGTGAGGGGGGTGGGTTTAGCCCCACATCACCTAGACATATGACTTTAGTAGTGCTTATAAAACTTGGGTAGTCCCCGCCTTACAAACCAATTTTGTTAAGTTAGATTCAACCCAAATACTAAGAACTGAATATAGTTCTGTTTTGTTGTTGTCAAAGAACACAGAACACTTGCACTTTTCTGATGTCGACTGATTTGTATTCTCGGTTTTGATTGAAAGCTTGGGAAACAACTAATGAAAGCCATTTTCCTTTTTCATGATTCCATTAACCGAAAAACTGTAATGATTAATATTTTTTGTCTTGTTTTCAATAACTATTTTCAAAATAAGATTTACCAAGACATATTTTTCTGCATTATGGCATTTTGACCATGACAATTCTCAAATTATATCAGCTACATCTTCTGTATGATATTCACATTGTAATGTCTTTCTAAAACAATGTAGTGTCATGGGTGAGTACTTGATTCATAAATTTGTTAATAAAATTTGGTTCTACATATCCCTGCAAATCATATCTTAATTATTATGCTTGAACTTATGTTTCTTTATTCCACATCTACAGGGGCTGGTGTTATTCTTTGCATTGAAAAGGCATTAGCTAACTCCGGTGTTTCAAGGGAGGATGTGAACTACATAAATGCACATGCCACATCCACACCTGCTGGAGATCTTAAGGAGTACCAGGCTTTGATTCATTGTTTTGGCCAAAATTCTGACGTAAACTTCATTTCATGTGTATTTATTACTATATTCTTCTTAACCACTTTAAACGTAACTATAATCTTTTACCCTTTTATTTCGTTTGATCTATGCTACAGCTAAGAGTGAATTCGACAAAGTCTATGATCGGTCATCTACTTGGGGCAGCTGGTGGTGTGGAAGCCGTAGCAACTATACAGGTGAAAATTAATGTGCCACTTGTTTATGAACTTTTTCTTGTAATGTAACCAAAGTGTTGTGACAAACAAGTTGAGGATTTTTCTTCTTTTTGTTTTCCTGCATGTAGGCAATAAAGACAGGGTGGGTTCATCCTAATATCAATCTAGAAAACCCAGATAAAGCAGTGGTATGCACTTGTTTGTATTTATCTTCGATGCTTACTGTAAAATCACATTTTTGTTTTCAAATTGAGTTTATAATTAGTGACAGAGGTAGCATCGTCGTATACGGGGTTCATCAAAGTTATCTAATTTGTTTAATCGAAAATGAAAAACCAGGATACCAATGTACTTGTGGGCCCAAAGAAAGAGAGACTGGACATAAAGGCAGGCTTGTCTAATTCATTTGGTTTTGGTGGCCACAATTCTTCAATCATATTTGCCCCTTTTAAGTGAAACAGATTTTACCAAGTGTTATTACCTTCCTATCATCATTAACAAGGTATGTGGAGTTTTAGGCACATATTCCCTTTGTTCCTTTGCTCTATTTTAAGGGTTTGTTTGAATTGACACGAACTTATATAAATAGCTTATGACATGTTCATAAGTATTTTCAGCATATTTAAACAGTTAATGACCTATATTCAAACATGACTGAAGTCTTTTTATCTTGCAGTTTACTGAGTAACCAGGCAATGTGTTGCATTCGCGTACTCCTCATACTACTCCTTTGCTTGAGTGAAAATGCCTGTGGTGTGGATTGCTTACTTGGATGAGTGATATTTTTTGAAATTGCAGATGAGATGCAACTCTACAATCAGAACTTCCCGAGATTGTTTGGTGCTTCTGGTGAGATAAAATTGTGTTTATCAGTTGGTGAAAAAAAGTCCTGTCTGACCATGAATGACTAGAGTAGGAATTGACTTTTGATGTAGCAGTTAGACAATCACTTGATGGGAACATTGACATTGTTTAGTTGAATGTTAAAAAAGAGAAAATGTGGATTTTGAGCTGACAAGATTATATGGAGTATTTTCATTGAAGTTTATGCCTTTGAGGTTGATTTCAACTAAGTTATTTTGTAGTATGCAAATCCTAGCTCAACTGACAAAAACTGATATTCCTAGGTTGAACGTCATCACTCGAGTTTGAATTTTGGTACTCATGATTGTGTGTGAGTGCGTTTCTAATTGTTATTATCATTTCGTCTAATTAGATTAGATCTATGCTGTACCTCTACTTAGTGGCCGACATTTGAAACCACACTGGCCATTTCATTGTCCTCTATGTTGATCTACCCATTTTTTCTTCTTCATGTGCAACATGATTTTTTGTTTTGTTTGAGTGAATGTGCAACATGATTCTGATCGTATAGAAATAGACATTGATGTTTATTTTGACAATATTGAGGCTTTAATCTTTAATATATTGTGGATGCATCTCTTCAATATAGAAAAAGGAAGGGGCATTACCTTTTCCACACGCTTATGTGTTCTCCCCACAACCGTGAAAAGTCTTGAGTGTGCATCTCCAGAAGCTTTTCGGACGCACCTTTTCTCACACATCTTTGCTAAATTGTTTAGAAACTCTTGTTCTGTTTAAATTTGGTTCGGGGATGCATCTTCGCATATACAAAAGGTTGATTTGGAGATGCATCCCCAAAACACTCCAATTCATTATTCTGTGAAATTTTCGAAAATGCATCTTCTGAATATGTTTTGTTAGTTCAGATTAGAAACAGACATGACAAAAATCGAAAGGAAAACAAAGTAAACATTACATAGATAAATATTAAATAGATTTAGCATTACATGTCTTTACAAATGGGTGGTTCAGGACATTGCAACATTTTTATAATATTTTTGATTAATCTTTGAATTGTCGCATTCATTTCAATCAGACTCTTTGTTGAGTAATAATAAAAGATACTCCACATAACTTTCAAATCATTATCTATTTTCAGTTTAAGCATAGTGAATAGTATCTTCTCTTCGTTGTTAATGGAGGGTGAATGATATTTGATCTTGACAACTCTCTGATTTTCTGGATATCGCAATAGAGTATTCAGTTTGGATTCTAGATCAATGAGAAGTATGTTCTCAGACCTTAAACTGAAGTGGAGATTTGCTCCATTGAAATATACAAATGCAAGATGAAGATAAGATTCATTATGATTTTTATAAAGAAAATAGAGTGAGAGATCCTATTTATAGAAGGTGTAAAGCAATAAGAATCTTACAAACCCTATCCTATCTTCAGGAGAGACTTCTAGACCCACCTTTAAAAAAGAGTTTTATCTAGAGATGCATGTCTGTAAGTCCATGCTTTGTTTTTTTTTAATAATAAGTTGGATCTGGAGATGTATCTCCGGATCCAACCAAAAACTATGCATAACTGAATCTATTGATTATACAGAGTCAATTTTTAAAATACAAAAAATATTCAAAAAATACCATTCATTTGTATAACATTATGTAGTGCGTTACATACAAAAAGCTTGTTACATTGTTAGATTACAACAGAAATGCATCAAAATATATGTCAATTCCTAAATCTATTGGGGATTCACTCTTCAACATTTTCTTATTTGCTTTTCTTTCAATGTCACTCAACTTGGTGAACTCTTCCATCCTTTCTAAAAAGTGATTAAGTCAAGTTTCGACATTTTGTGTAAAATGTTTCGTCCACTCTAGTGATGTCTTTGGTATAAGACATCCCGATTTCAAATAAACCTGAACATGATGCATTCATATGAATTTTGAGATGACTTGAAATAATGTTTATGAGAAATCATATCGTGTTAAAGTAATATACACCATATCATAACCACTTGATATAAGGTGTCCCATTCTGGGAAGCACATCCATTTGTCAAACAGAGTTGGACCGCCACTAAGACAAGGAACTAGAGCATTGAGAATTGCATCATATTTTGCTTTGTTACAGTATAGCTTTAAGTATGATTCCCTATGCATCTTCATATATTGTATAAGATGAAGACAAACAAAATGATAGTCGACCCGTCCCTTACTGAGCAAAGTCGAAACAACTCGAAAACCACAGTTGCCGTCACCTTCAATATTTACAATCCGTTCAATGTATTTGTGCATAAAAAGCAACATCTCTTCAATGTGTTTGATTTTTGGTAATGGTGGTGAGAGAGATGGTTAGCTAATGCGAGCAATCCTGAAAACACTTTTTGGGACCTTGAAGTAGGAGAATTCGAAAAATGTGAGCCAACATGTTCAAAGTATGAAGAAGACCGTCTCGTGGAGTTGTCACTTTGTATTAGTTTAACCTTTTTAGGGGCACCATTTATTTTAACTGGTTCCAATAATGCTTTTAAATCCGTTGTTTCTAGATAAACAATCTTTCTCAATTTCTCTTTGATGTCCAATTTCATTATGTCACCAGCTTTCATGAATCTCTTTTGGATGACTTCCCACTCGGTCATGATAGATATATTTGATTTATCATCCTTCATCACACCATCATCATCAAAACAAATCCATTTTTAATGACTGCAAACTTCATCCATACGTATTGACTTTTATAGCTTCATCTTCTTTGAAATTAAACAAGCACATGGAAAACCAAAAGTCTTCCTAAGTGTACATCCACACTTTGAGCTATCTAAAACTGTTTTATCCGCTCGCCTGTCTTCGTAAAAACTAAAATTCAATGTCACCCGAGATACGTTGCCAACTAACTGTGAATAAATGATGTTGACTTTGAATCAGTATTCTAACACAATAATGCTCCTACCAAAAGATGTATGTATCTCATTATATTGGTTTCAAAGCATTTGGTTAACTCGTCCCAATCTCGACAAAAATTATCTTGACTATTTTCCAACCAATTCTCCAGTCTAGCATGTGTAGATTCAACTTTGTTAGTTATTGTATTGTCAAAGTGTCGAACCTGATCGGTCCATGCACAAACAATATTCTCTTTAACCTGATTTAGAATTGTGCCCTCAACATATTTCAGCAAATCTGGATATATTGCACACACACTCCTGAAATGTAGAACAAATTAGACATATAATTATTTCGTGGAAGAATTTATTATATCATTTCATGCATCCATTATCTTTTCATCAACCACATCAGGTTTAACCATTTTTCCATCTTCATCAGTGATTTGTTTGGTGCCAACCGCAGGTTTTACTCCACTTCTCACATTTTTGGTTATGTGATACTTACAAAGTAATGCAGACGATGTAGAAAACACCGTTGTAACCAAATTCATCAGTGCGGTGTCGCGATCAGTGATTATGATTTGTGACATGTTTTCTTGGTCCTTCAAAATAGTCTTGCACATTTCCAAAGCCCATGTAACATTGTCCTCTTTTTTGGATTTCAAACATGCAAACCCGACTGAATAAGTCATCTCCATAGAAGTAACACCAACAATTTCCAAGAGTGGAAGTTGAAGGTGGAGAAAACACAAGAAAATGAGGGTTTGAATTGGGTTTTAAAACTTTTCGTTTAGAAGTGCTTTTCACAAACAATCAGAATTAGAAACAATTCTAGGATAGAAATGACAATCAAAAGCAGAAATAAAAAGACACTTCTGGTTTATTTAGGTTCATCTTAGAAAAGGTTAATCTTGTCCACCCGCAGATGTGATTTTTCCTTAGAAAAGGATTTAATCCACTATAACCAAACTGATTATAACTGTACGGGCTACACGCCGATGACTAACAAATGCACGAGCTACCCACTGGTGACTAACAACAATGATAACTTGTTAGTGATCCCTTAAGAATTCTGACCTACCCCGTCCCCTAAGAGATAGAATGATCATTGACTCCTTAAGGCTTCTGACCTACCCAATCCTTTGAAGGAGATTTCTCTATGCCTTAGAAAAGGACTTTCTCAACTACCCATTGAATAACTGTATTTACAAGTTTTCTTCTTACAAGCGAATTACACAGAAGTTTAAGAACAAATTGTTTAACACAAATATGAGCAACAACTCTTGTGTTAAATTTTTTTACAAAAGTAACAGAATAATGAGCAACAACTCTTGTGTTTAAACAATTTACAAAAGTAACACAATAATGAGCAACAACTATTGTATTCTAATGAATAGTAATATCAACACTATATGATCAACAACTCCAGTGTTTTAGTGAATAGTAGTATCAACACAATATGAGCAACAAATCTCGTATTTAGCAAATGATAATATTAACACAATAACGAGAAACAACTCTTGTGTTTTGATCTTTTCTTTTCTTTGATTTTTCTTTTTATTTTTCTTTGTTTTTCTTTGTTATTGATTTTGGCAGCGTTACTGTTCTTGTTTTATAGTCTTACCTTTTCAAATGAAACAATTAATCACTTATATAGGCATTGAGGAACTAGACCATCGTAGTAGTACACACGTCACTTTCATCTTGCCAACTGCCATAATAGTAGGATTTGATCGTGGGAGAAAAATAAGACACAGTACATCCATTTGAGTGGAATATGTAATTGTACCTTTGTACTAACTCTTCTTGCGCTTGTTTATGATGATATTGTCTTCTGATGAATATGACTTTAGATGAAGTGGATTAGATTGAGAAGATATCATCTTGATCTTGTCTTCTAATGGACTATATGATGTGTAGAAGTGATGAGTCCAGAAAATTTAACTCTCCTTTGACCTGTCTTCTGATGGAATACTTCTGATGTAAAGTTATGTGCACATATTCCACAAAGTTCTTGAGTCTTCAAAATCTTAACTTTGTCTTTAGAATTAGAAGCAGTAGCTTTTCCGATGGACAAATCTTGAATTTTGACTCTGAGGTAGAAACTTTCCTTTGATATGTTAAGAACCTTGACTTTGTCTTCAGAGTTACGAGCAACAACTCCTCTGATGAACAAATCTTGACTTTTGATCTTTCATGAAAAGCTTGTTTTTGTGCAATCTTATTTTCTAATCTTGGAGTAGCAACTCTAACAAATTTCTTTCTTCTTG